ATTCCTGGCCCAGGAGAGATTTATAACGCTGCAGGCAGCTGGCTTAACGCCAGGCAGGGGTTCAGGGGTGGCACATTGCCAATAGTCATCACAGGCTAGGCACAGATGCCCTTCAGGCGTGTGGGAGCACTGAAGTTCTCGTGCCTCTAGCTGTCCCTGTCTGCTGTCACACACATGTGACTGGTGAACTGAACTTGTTTGCACATAATGTTTCCAAGAGTCGTGAAGTAAAGGGACGCAAGGGACAACATCCCTCCCCTCATCTCAGATCTCCAGGGCAGCAAGAGAAACTGCATGGCTTATGGGAGGTTAATGCCTAGACTATGCACTAATGGGGCAGGAGTGGCTGGTGAGGGGTCTAATATGTGGACTATGTGCTAATGGGGCAGGGTCTTCAGTCTCAGAAGGGCTGCTCCCCAAATCCTGAGGGAGCTCAGAGGAGTGAGATATCCCAGAATACTTGTGCCTAGGAGTAGGGTGTGGAGAAGGGGGACCTCTTGGTTTTAGAAAAGAAAAAGGTGGGGAGGGCGGGAAGAGAAGTCAGACGAGAAGGGTGATGGAAAGGCCACAGTTTGTAGCTGATTTGGCCATGGAGCTAAGAAGCCAAGGCTGGAGGTGAATCAGGTAAGGGCTCAGTGTGGAACAGCTCCCGGCCACACTCCCCTCCCAAAGGTGACTGACTCACAGGGCCACTTTCCAGAGCACATGCCCCACCCCCCAGCATGAATGAGAGAGTGACCCACACATCTTCCTACTTCCTACTTAACCATTAATCTCTTCTCTGAACCCAGAAGTAAGGTCCTAATTCTGGCCTTCTGGGCATGCTCTATCAAGTCTCTTTCCCTCTCTGAGCTGCCTATGACCTCATATGGCAAACACATACCTATCTCATAGGAGGACTGTGAAGATTAAATGAGAGAGTGGACATGCAGAGCCTGGCAAAAATGACATCAGGTTCTATTGCATACAGTAGGTTCTATAAGTGTCAGCTTTTTGGAGAATGGGCCAGGGATAGGGCAAACAGTGTTCTTATATGTTGCCTATCCTGTGTTCCCAGGCAGGGAGTCAATTGAACCCTACCGTGCCCAACCTGGGCTGGGATCGCAGAGCCCCCCCCCATCCATCAGCAAGGTTTGTAGTCCTTCAGCCCCCCTCTGACTGAAGTTCTCTGTGGGCCACCAGCTGTCCTGAAGGTCCCATAGAGTGGGGGCACCAGAAGAGACTTTGCTGATCTTCCTAGGACATGGCCTGGTTTTCTGGGGAGATGGAGAAACAGCACATTCCTCCCGAAATAATCCTACAGCTATTTCCAGCTCTCCTGTGCCCAGGCCAGAAATGGCCAGTGATCTCCATGCCTGGATACCATCAGGACAAACAGCCTAGAGGCCCAGCCCTCAGCTGGCTGCCTGCCTGCCTGCCCTCCCGGCCCCCAGCCCAGTGCTGCACCCAGCCCTGGCTCAGGCCTCAAAAGAGAGTGGTAGACACCGCTTCCCTTGTTCACTGAGTTTCCCGCACTGTTCTTCATCTGGGGAGAGGTGTCTCTGGGTCCCTCATCTCTGCCCCTTGCTTAGCTGACTCCCACCCAGAGGCACAAGGGTATTCATTCTCAGCAACGGCACACTGAGGAGGTCCCGGGACACAGGGCTACAGTGATTTGCAATATGATATCTGGTCATTAGGAAACGTGGGCTGGACCCAAATTGGAGGACATTCTGTCAGTAACTAGTCTGCTCCAGTCTATCAAAGATGAAGGGAAAGTGAGAGGGTCTGGAGAGATGCCTCTGTCAGTAAAGAGCTTGCAAGAGGACCTGAGCTCTGGGTCCCCAGCATCCATGTAAAATGCTGGGCTTGGCAATGTGTGCCTATATCCCGGCACTGGGGAACTTTCTGGAATTTTCTGGCCACCAACCTTACCAAATGGATGAGCTCCCTGGGTGATCTTCCTTCAAAATGTAAGGTGGGGAGTGACAGAAGATACCAGACTTCTACCCAGCACATGCACTCCACACATGCATGTAGGAACACACACACACACAGAGGAAATTATACACACACACATGCACACAGGTAGAGAGGAATATACAAACACACACACACATACACAGGACATATACTCAAATGCACACATGCTCAGAGAGAGAGGAGAGAGATATTTCCAGACTGAAGGAGACAACAGGAAAGGACATGATAACTAGCTGCAAGCTGCTTGGGGTGAACTGTCCAGGGCCAGCTAGAGAAATTTGACTTTGGATTAACTTCTCCTGGGAAGACTTGAACCGTACTCACCATAGATAGGGTACCAAGACAAACAAAAAGAAACAGCTCCATCCAATGTTAGACTGGTAAACAATGAGTTTATTGGTCTTTGCTTGTTTGAAACAGGGTTTCTTGTGTAGCACGGGTTGTCCTGGAAATCACTCTGAAGACCAGGCTGGCCTTGAACTCAGAGATCTGCCTGCTTCTGTCTCCTGAGTGCTGGTATTAAAGTTGTGCATCACCACCACCCGATTTATTAGGCTTTTATAGAAGAATGGGAGAGGGGTGACTTACAGAACCGTAGGTGATTCCCCAAAAGTCACATCCCTGATAAAGCTCACCCCAGCATTGGTGTTGACCTGCCAGAGCTATCTCTACGGCACCCCCTTCCTTAGTTAACCTTCTACTTTCTGTGTACTTTAGCCCCTCCCAAGTCCACATACCCCTATCTGGGAGGAGCACAGGAATGGGTGGCTGGAGTCTTGGGTGAGGGTCCAGTTACCTCCCTAGCCCCATCCTTCTATGAGGGAACATCAACAAGCCTGATCTTGAGGGTCTCTTGGATGAAGATGGTAATGGCTGCTTTGCTCTAAGGATAATGGTCCACAATAGAGCTATCTATTGAATGATAAAGGTTCTATGTTCATGTTAAACATCCTGGAAGGAGCTTGTGAGAGGATAGAAAGTATCCTTGTCCTCTTCAGTGATGACACTGAAGTCATCAAGGATTAAAAACTGCTGTTGTCTGCGACTGACTCAGCATAGCAATGTATATGTGCGTGACTTAAGTGCTAAATGTGGAAGAAATGTTTAATTAGAGGATTTGAATAGAGAACATGTGGGGGGCAGAAAGACAGTTCAATGAATAAAGGTGTTTGTTTGCCAAGCCACATGACTCAAGTTTAATCCCTGGAAATCACAAGGAGAAATGAGAGAACTGAGCCAGGCAGTGGGGAGGCACGCCTTTGATCCCAGCACTCGGGAGGCAGAGCAGGCAGATCTCTAAGTTCGAGGCCAGCCTAGTCTACGGAGTGAGTTCCAGGACAGTCAGGGCTGCACAGAGAAACTCTGTCTTGAAAAGCCACACACATAAAAGAGGAGAGAAGTGATTCCTGTAAGCTGTCCTCTGATCTCTACCAAGGCATGTACATACCCACATGCAAGCACACACAAAATAAAATGAAAAAAAAAAAAAAAAAAAAAAAAGAGGATATGACAAGTCTATCTTAAAAGTTTCAGTAAGCTTGAGAGTCTGGAAAAAAACATGTGTGTGCATTGAGAGTATATATATTATATATCATACCATCCATATGTGCACATAGAACATAGTATATCTATATATATGTATATATATATATACTATATACACTCATAACATATACATATTATTTACACACATATAGAGCACACATTATATATTGCACACTCTATATAGAGTATATATTATATATATACCATATACACACATAAAATGTGTAAATAATATACACACCATACACATAGAGTATACATAATATACATACTACATATATACACATAGTATATAGAGTATATATAATGTATGTTATATACACACAGTATATATAATATATACATGCATATTATATATATGTGTGTGTGTGTAGAAGCATGCACTACACACACACATACACACATGTATGTATTATATGGGAGAGAGATTGATTTTCCAGTATTGGCAGTTGAGCTCAAGTCTTGTACATGCTCAGTGAGCCCTGTACCACTGAGGTGTACTTCAGTCTTCCTCCACCTTCTTGTTTTCTGTGGCACTGAGGCCACAGAATCCCAAGCCTTTGCTTGTTTGTTTGGTTGGTTGGTTGATTTTTAGTGTTTTGAGACAGGGTTTCTGTGTAGCCAGACTGGCCTGGAACTCACAGAGATTCGCCTGCTGGGATTAAAGGTGAGTGCTACCACTGCCCTGCTAATCCCAAGACTTAACAAGCAAAAAACATGTTCTATCGGGTCTTGGATACTCTGATGGCGCTGCCTTCTCTCTCCCTTCTCTTGTGCTTTCTGGGAGAGTCCTGAGCCTGGAAGGAGAGGGGAGAGGGAAGCAGAGAAAGCCCATAAAGAAAAATGTCAGCGGGAAGTGCAGGGAGCCAGGGCTGCCCTGACTCTCTTTGGCAAGCTCAGATAATGGACACACACCATCACACCTCAGTCAGAAGCTTAACTGATCATTTAGAAGCAAACTGTATTTTTAATCAAGAGGTAAAAATGGGATGGAGAGAAAAGCTCTTCCTGAGAAACAGCATGAGGTCTTAGGAAGATGTGGGCCATCACTCACTCCGGGGACCCAGTCTCAGTTGGGATGTGGGGTTTGGAAAGGAACTCTGAGAAATGTCCTTGAAGAGACTTCACACTCCATCTGAAGTCTGACACACAGCAGGTTCTCTACAAAGAACTGCTGACTACTCTCAGTTCCCTAGAATGGCTCCCTGAAGGGACAGCCCTTGGGGGGGCTGGATCAATACATGCCTGCCCAACACGAGGAGAAACTGATACTGGATGCAGCCAGCCTGGGTTGTGTCAGAGCTAGCACACATCTTTCAATTCAACACAAGGAAAACAAATCCTGGAAAACAGCCACCTTAGTCTGGGTTCAAAAATAGGGCCCATCTGCCCTGGCAGGTTCATAGTAGTTCCTTCCCTGAGGCTGGGGCCTGGCTGGAATGACCACTGGAGGCCCTTCCCTGCCTTAGGATTCTATGATTCTATGACATGGCCAGCAGTCTGAAGCGGCAGATTGCGGGTGTCCCCAGTGGAGAGCCAGGGAGGTCTATGTCATCTACCTCGAAAGAGCCAGGGTAAGAGAGGAACCAGCCCTACGGCAGGCAGATGGGGTCCCACAGACGGGGAAGGGGAAGGGACTTGAGCTGGGGCAGGCCTCAGTCCCTCTTGTTTTTCTAGAATAGGGGATGAGGTGGGGTTGGGCAGGGAAGAGAGGCCAGGGCTTGGACATTCCACCCATTTTAGACCAAAAGACAAGGGCAGCTGAGGGGCCGGGGGCAGGGAAAGAGATTTGCAGCTGTTTTCTGGATGGAGCGGGCTCAAATACTGTTCTGTTGGCACTGAGCAAATATCAGGAGTCAGGCAGAGCTGGCGGGAGTGGGGGAGACTCCTGCAGGGATGGATGGCTGGCCAGTATTGGACACCGAAGGGATAGGACAGGGCAAAAGGAACCTACAGGGATGTCATTACCCAGGGATGGGACAGGGCTCAATGGAGTGGGCATGTCTTTAACCTAGCCAGGTTTTAGCCCCCATAAAATGCCCACTTCAGGACCAGAAACAGTGGGAACTCCGAGGCTCTCTGTTCAAGTAGGACAAATGAAGAAATCCCATACTGTCAGAGGAGATTAGAATCAAACAACCTGGCAGGACTTTTTTGAGATTCATGTAGCCAGGATGGCTTTGAACTCACTATGTGGCTAAGCTGCCCTTGAACTCTGTTTCCTTTGTGTTGGGAGTAAGAGCATCTGTCAATTGGAAATAGAACATTACTTCCCCACTTATGTTGCAGCATGTAAGACAGGGGGTGGCAAAGGGCAGAGAGCAGAGGTCGAGCCTAGAGCACAGGGTCTGGGCTGAAGGGCAATGAGGTACTGGTTAGCACTGTGGGCTAGCTTTTGGGTGTCATCTAAGGGCTGTTTCATTCAACATATTAGATACTGTCATTTGGCTTTTGTGGTTCACTGGGGACCCTGTTTTGGAATTTGAGAAACGTGGGCTCAAACAACAGTCTGTTCCACGTTCCCTAGGGAGGCAGCTCTCTCTATACCTCCTTCTGCGGCCATCATCAGGTCCTGAACAGTCAGATGGTGCTGCCTTTCCCTTCTCTTGTGCTATCTAGAGAAGTCCTGAGTCTGGAAGGAGGGGGGGCGGGGGAAGGGGAAGCAGAGCCCACAAAGCCCATAAAGAGAAAGGTCAGAGGAAGGTGGCAGGGAGCCAGAGCTGATCCAACTGTCTCTTTGGCAGGTCCAGGTAACCAACCAAACACTGTCACACCTTAGAAACTTGACCCAGCCAAGATGTCTGGACGCCAGGTTAGTCGATCCAACACTTACAGCCGCTCGAACAATTCCAACAACACTTCCTTTCCTCCCCGAACTCCAGGCTGGACCCAGTACTCCAATATGAACAATGTCAAGGGCCCAGGTACCCATTTACCAAGTGGCTCTGAATTAAGCACCTCCAGTGGCCCCTCCGAGCAGCCCTTCAACCCTGCTTCCCCCAAACTTCCTGTGGGGAAAATCTGCATGGGCCGGCCCTACAGCTCCAGGTGTGTAGAGTCAAGTCCCCTGATGAGAGATTCCAAGGTGGCCAGAAAGCCCACTTATCACCGTAGCAACCCCCAATGCCTGCTCTGCACAGACCGTCCATCAAGCCCGTCTAGCCCTACCTTCCTGGACCAGCTCATCAAAGGCATCAACTACCTGGACAGATCCACCAACGTTTTCGGCAACAGTTATCCCAAAGCGCTGAGCTTGCCTCAGCTGGCAGCCACCTACCTGGAACGAGCTGCCAACTCACTCTACATGGACCCAATGGACCATGTCCCACCCCGCAGCTACTCCTCTCCCAGCACTAACATAGCCACCACTACCAATCACCCTTCAACCAATAACTGTTTGGTCCCTTCCATTCGGGACACCAACACTCTGCAGTACATGGGAGGCTCCACTGGCTTGAGCTGCCAGCACCAGCCTCAGAATCAGAGCTTCTCTGCCGAGATGCCTCAGAGGCCAGGCGTAAAGCTACCAGAGATCCCTCTGTTTGGTAACGGGCTCTTTTCCTTAGGTCGTCTACCCAAGTTCTGGGAAGCAATCCGCTCTGGATGGAGTGCCCCCGAACCCACCTCTAAGCCCTCGGGCTGGTGGTAAAATGGATGCCAGTTTTGTCCCATGGGCACACGGCCACCACAGTGTGGAAAATAAATTAACATGAGACAAACCAGGGGTTCTGGTGTTTTTACTCCCAAAGTGGAGTCTCAAGTCTGTTGCTCAGGCTGGAACTCCTGACACAAACAATATCTGTGCGTGCACACACCCACACCCTTTTTACAATTTGAGAAAAGGTTGTCCTAGTCAGGGTTAATATTGCTGTGATGAAACACCATGACCAAAAGCAACTTGGGGAGGAGTTTATTTGACTTACACTTCCAAATCACTGAAGGAAGTCAAGACGGAACTCAAACAGGGCCAGAATCTGGAGGCAGGAGTTGATGCAGATGCCATGGAGGGGTGCTGTTACTGGCTTGTTCCCCATAGCTTGCTCAGCCTGCTTTCTTAATAGAACCCAGGACCAGCAGCCTAAGGTGTTCCCACCCACAATGGCCTGGGCTCTCCCCCATCAATCACTAAGAAAATGCTCTGCAGGCTTGCCTACAACCAAATTCTATGGAAGCATTTTCTCAGTTGAGGGTCCCTCCTCTCAGGTGACTATAGGTTGTATAACGTTGATCTAAAACTAGTCAGTACAAGTGTCTTGTAAAGCTCAGGTTGTCCTCAAATTCTGTGTAGTCAAGGATGACCTAGAACTCCTGATCCCCTGCCTTTACGCATCTGTTGGAATTACAGATGCGTACTGCCATACTGTAATTTATAGGATCAAACTCAAGGCCTACAGCATGGCACCAACTGAGCTAGAATCCTAGGCGACAAAGGCCAATTTTTTACCTCAGATTCTCTGTTGGCTAGGAGGCGTCAACAAACATGTGCTTGCGACCTGATTTTTTTAAGTTTTATTTATTTATTTATTTAGGGTTTTGGAGACAGGGTTTTTTTCTGTTTCTTTGGGGCCTGTCCTGGAACTCGCTCTATAGACCAGGCTGGCCTCAAACTCACAGAGATCTGCCTGCCTCTGCCTCCTGAGCACTGGGATTAAAGGCGTGTGCCACCAACACCCGGCTGGAGTTATATTTATTAGTGCTCATGCTCTTGCATGCATTCCACTGTGTAAGAGTGCAAACCAGAGGACTGCTTGCAGAAGTAAGTTCTTTCCTAGCTTGTGGGTCTAGCTGGGATTGAACTCAGGTCCCAGACTTAACAGCAAGTGCCTTTACCTGCTGAACCATCTCACCGGATCCCGGTTTTTGTTTTTGTTTTTTTAACGTTAGGAACAAATGCAAAAATGTCACAGTGCCCTCAGGAATGATCAAAACTACTTTCAGGGTGAGTGTCAAGACCACAAATTACAGAAATCTCTAGTTTTAACTCTCTGGTAGAACTGTTCCTAAGCAGCAGGGCCTGTTCTCAGCTCTTTTCTTGAGACAGGCTCTCATGTAGCCCAGGCTGGCCTAGAACTCTGGAGTTCTGTGATAACAGGTGTGTACCACTGAACAGGCTCAGTATTGTATCCTTCTTCAAATGGATACAGCAGACCTTTTTGATGGCCAGTATTAGAGGTATCCAACAGACAACCAGGCTTTCCCACAGGAGGGAGGGTGGTCCTGCTGGGTGCTCTCCAAAGTCACTGAGTTCATCTGGACCTTGAATGTCTGGGCTGCTGAGGATGCTCAGATCCCAACTGATTTAAAGTCAGGGCTATCTGCTCCATATGGAAGAAAGCTAGCTGCCCCTGAGGCTGCGGATCCTTTGCCCCTCTCTCCAGGTCTGTTTTCTCTACCTGCAGTTTGGATGTGTAGCTTCAGTGATCTATGGGCTCCTGGACTTGTGTTTCTGAGTGTGTCCCCTGAGTGTGCCCCTTAAACTGGAACCAAGAGTGATCCACACAAGCACTCTAGTTCCTGCAATCCCCAGCCATCTTGCTGGGCTTCTCATCAGCCATTGCCTACCCAAGGGCCCAGTTCTGTATGGCTGTAAACTTAAGACCTGGTCCTTATTATTGCCAATCTTGTTTCCCTGGCAACGTGAAGGCCACAGCACCTCTGACTATAGAATGGGGTCACTTGAGAAAATGCAGAACTCCGAGGCTCTCAAAATTCCTTTGCTCTTAGACGCAACAGTGACCTGCTGAAGCCAAGCAGGCTCCTGTGGTCAAGCAGCGAGGGCGATAGGCCCAAGTGTCCCCCTCATGGGATCACAAGGTCAGGAGGAAGGAAAAAAATAAAGGAGGCATCAAGCTCCTGGTCCATTGAGTTCATGAATTCACTCTCATTTTTGATTCCTCCTTTGGTTCAGGGCTCAGCAGGCCGCAACCTCAATTCTCTGTCCTTTGTTTCTCTTCTCCCCAGAATAAGATGTCCATTTAGTCCACACCTACCTGTTCCCTTCCCCAGATGGACAATCACAGGAACAGCTTCTCATGCTCTAGCATGAGAAACAGAGCTAAGTTTGGAGCTCTATGTACAGTTGCTCAAAGTCACCATGCTTCTGACCTGGGTCTGTGCTTATCTGACTCCAAAGCAGAAAGACAGACTACCCCCTTGGCTTTTCTAGAAATGTTCCCCTCCAAAATGGTTCCATTTCCTCGAACTGAAGTGCAGGGCCCTTGACTAGGGAACCACTCAACATTACCAGTGCCTGGCCCAGTATGGCTCACAGTAAATCCTTTTTATAATACTGATAGACACTGGACCTTGTGGCCAACAGTGCTCCATAACAGTGACACTGCTGTCCTCAGAAGTATGATAGAACCTCACTTGTGGCTGCTCAGTAACTCATACTATTAATAATGCCAGTCAACATTTATTAACTCGTACTTATAAGCCAAGCACCATCTAAAGTGCTTTGGATGTATTCAGTTCTTTCAAAAGGAAGATAACTCTTCACAATACTACAAAAAAGAAAAAGAAAAAAAATCTAGTCACATTTTAGTGTCTTTTCCTGTTGCTTTGACAAGATGGCAGTAGCCATGTAGGGAGAAAGGATTTATTTTAGCTCACAGTTCAAGGTGCAGCCCATCATGGTGGGGAGGTCAAACAGCAGGAGCTTGAAGCAGCCAGTCACACTGAGCTCACAGTCGGGAGGCAGAGAAGGATGGATGATGCAGGGCTTGCTTTCTCCCTTTTGTGCAGTCCAGGATCCTCTGCCAGGAGAGTGGTCCTGCCTACAGCTACCGGAAACTACTACAACTCATTTGAATGAATGCAAAAGAGACTAAGGGTTGACCCTTCCATAGTGAAACACAGAGGTAGTGACAAACCCAACAAGATGAATTCTTTCCTCCCAAGGACATGCCTCCATACTGTGGAAATAGCTTAAAAATAGTTCTTTTTAATTGTGTGTGTGTGTGTGTGTGTGTGTTCAAGTACTGAACCCAGGGCCTTATGCTAGAAGAGAACTTTGACTCTGAGCTACAGGACAAGTTACAGTCTGGCTTTGAACTCAGAATCTTCCTGCCTCAGCTTCCCAATCATCTGTGATTACTAGCCTGGAACTTGCTATGTAGACTAGGTTGCTCCGGAACTCAGAGATCTACTTGCTTATTCCTCCCAGGTACTGAGATTAAAGGAATACACCATCATGCTGGAACTTTCCTGTTCAAAGATGATCTGCCTATTAATCATTCATCTAGTAACTTGTCACTAAATTCTAACTTGAAAAAGACGGTGTTTCCCTTTAGAACAACAGAAGAAGTTGGGGGTAGTGGCCCATACCCATAATCACAGGGGCTACAACCATGAAAAGAAGTGTACGTGTGTCTGAGAGCAGAATATGTTGAGTCTCTAAAATGCAGACATCTCAGGACTGTGACTCAGCTTCACATAACTTAGGCCTATGTCAGAAGTAAAGATGAAGCCAGCAGGTGAGGCACCATAGTGCCTTCTGCCATCCATGTACTCTTCCCAGGCACTAGAAAAGGAAATGGCAAGAGCTTGGGCTCACCTCTAAAGCACCAATCCAATGCACCTGGCTGCACCTAGCCCTTTAATCGCCATACTGACTCTTTAAGGAAAGCACTAATGCCATTTTCTGGAGCAAGACACTGTAGCACAGAGGCATCAGGTATAAATAATTTCCACGAAGTGCCTGGAACTCATGACCTTCAAAGCCTGCTTGGCATCATGAGAGGGCACTGCATCTGGAATGGGCATGCCATCATCTTTTTCTTCAAGATTACATTGTGGAAGGAGCAGGTTCTCTGCAAAGGCACACAGTGGGTACACACGTCATCAGAGGACCCAGCACATAGTAGGTGCTCAGATGCCGTTTGCCCACTGGGGATTAGATTATAGCATGTAGGGACCGGAGATCTGCCCTTGATCCAAATTGCTCCCTGGGATGGATGCTCACTAGTCACAAGTCCCTTCCACAGGCTGTTGAACCCAAGCCTGGAGAAAATAGACATATTTGAGAAGGTCCCCTGCTCCTCCCAGCCATGCTGAAGCCACAGGAGGTCCTCCAAGAGCAGTTCAATCCACACACCTGCAGGGTCCATGGAAACAGGAAGCAGCCTGCTGGCCGCAGAATGATGCAGTGGCCTGATGTACTGTCTCCCTTGTGTAGCATGGACTGGGTGTCACCACAGCTGGCAGTGGTCAAGAAAGTCCTTCATACCTACTGGAAAATGCCACTGTTTGTGAGGTACTCTCACTGCTTGCCAGGCTTGAATCAGAGCCCCAGTTCTCTGTGTCCTGGCAGGCTTTCTTTTTCCTGTGTGTGTTATGAACAAGACCCATGGCACATGTATGTAGGTGAGAGACAACTTGTGGGAATTCTCTCCTATCAAGCGAGTGCTGGGGATTAAACTCAGGTTGTCAGGCTTGATGGTACACACCTCTACCCGCTAAGCCATCTTGCCGAAGAGATTCTAAGAGAAGTATGGAGGGAAACTTGGTCTCCAAACTACACTGAATGGAACAAATCAAGGGTGATGTTTAACTGGAGGAGGCGTGGGCTTCTCCCCACAAACAATGTCTCCCCTTCCTGGCCCCTTCCTTTTCTTTTTGAGGCAAGGTCTCACCTATGTATTCCTGACT